GACAATTGACGAATGTAAATAGCCAGGAGAAGACGGTAGCTGTACTGGGGCATAGGAAATGGGTTGAAAATAAGGCGGAAAGTGATACCGATGGGAAAACATGTTTGAGCGACCTTTTCGGCAACGTAGGAAGGAACGATTGGCCATCGGTGATCGATCCTGTGGGAACAATGCTCCGTCCTGTCGAGGACGCGTGGTCAACGGTCTAACCGCCAAGTACGGCTGCCAAAACATGAGAGAGAGTACACCCCCCTTCGGATCCAACTCCTACGATCGGGAAGAGGCGTAAGTAGGTTAAAATGGCTGGTAGGCCGTATGTTGTACGATGTGGGAGAGGAGACATTGCCGAGAGAAGCCTGGGAGGTGAAGTGGACAAACAAGAAAAATGGAGGTACCAACCCGGAGGGAGTGGATTAAGGTTGTAGACGGCGTAGGAAGAGTTCAAATCCGATTAGGTTGGTAAATTGGAAACGAACGGTAGATCTAGGGGGGTTCGAGAACAAGAAATCTGCTTCTTTCGCCGAGAGAGAACACCATGTAACAAAAGGATCCAAGGATAAGGAGGGTCTCCATGTGTATGGATGTTGAAAGAAGGTATAGGTACCTACTACTGGAATGGATGCAGGGAGAAAGTCGAAGGTCAAATTTTGGAGTGGGGAAAACGGCCTTCGAGAACATTGACGAAGATTCAGGAAGGTAGACGATGAAGACGAGTTCAATGTGAATGCGACTCCGAGAGCGAAGACCGGGTTCATGTCGTTGCGAAACGTCCGTGTTGGGCGACAAGGGCAGAGAACTGTACATGACTGAGTTGGACATGTAGAAGAAACGGTACAGGGAGGTGTTTGAGGCATGGAATAGCCAGGAGAAGACGGTGGTAGCTGTACTGGGGCAAAGGAAGTGGGTTGAAGAGGCGGGAAGTGATATCGATAGGATAGATCGGCTAGGGAGAACATGTTTTGGCCACGTTTGACAAAGTACTTCTAAGTGGGAAGGAACGATTGGCATCAGTGATCCTGTTGGAACATGGATGCGTCCTCTCGAAGACGTTGGTCAATTGTCCTACCGCTAAGGCATGCGAAACATGAGAGAGAGTACGCTCTCCCCCTCCGCGCGTACAAGAATTCATCACGAGGTCCTCTCTCTCTCCCCCCCCCCCGCCTCGAATCAGAAACTAACTGCTGTTTGGGTCACCCCCCGGCCTCCTGAGTTCTTATCTTGCAGCCGCCGCGTTTTGGGGCTCCGTTCTTATCTGTATGCGCATTGGTACAGTACACCGGGCGGGTTCTTGTTCTTAATACAACGTCGGAACTGAGCATATGTTCTGATGGCCAAGTTCTTAGATTTTGGATTGTTTGAGGCTCAAGTTCTTAACTGCTAAGTTCTTAAGTGGTGGCGCGTTCTGTAATACTGCTTGGATAGGTGCTAGATTGGCGTTGATGGGATAAATCTAGGTGGATACTGCCAGGATAGGTGCAAGGTTGGTCCTGACGTGGCTAGGTGCTAGGTTGGTGGGCCTTGGAGTAGGGCTAGGTTGCTCTTGGTTGGTAAACGGTGTTCGTGCAGGTCTGTAGGCGGGACTGCCAAGTTGTGGGTGCATGGCTTGTGTGCGCCGTACCCATGGGTGCCTTTAATTTTTCGGCCACGTTATTTCTTCCGTTATATTATTTCTTTCGTTGTCTTTGTCTTTCTCTGTTTCCTTTCTTTTTTTCTTTTTGTTTTCTTTTTTTTTTGCCTTTCGTTATTCCATCCCTTTGACCGGGGTCGTCGATCGTCTCTCTATCCCGATCATAGTTTCCTTACTGTTGATCTATTTTTCGGTTGGATAACCAATCGCGCCTTGGAGGAATTTTTGAATTTTTCTGGTGTCCATTCATTGTTTTCTTTGTATAGTATTTTTTGAAAGGTGTACCCCCCCCTACGGGGGGCAGTTGGCTTGTGACCACGGAAGGCGTCCGCGTCAGTTGGACCAGTACTATACTATAGTATAGTATACGGACATTAGAAGGTACTGAGTGGAGACCGGAACGGTTCTTTTGATGTAAAGACAACAACAACAACAACTCCATCCATCGATTCACAATCGGTATGCAGATTAGTCCGCTCTACAGCAACAGTAGTAGTTTTTTTTCTGAACGCCCTGTCAAGCCGTTCTGGTGTTGGAAGTCGGCGGAGGTGTTCGTTCACGGATGGCTCAGAAAATGTATGGGTCTTGCATCCCTAACAAACTCTCCACTTACTGAAAAGACTTCACCACACCCCTTTCAACTGAGGTTATATCTCGAACGGGTAGTCTTTCTGTGAGGTTTATGTTTACTTTCTAAAAACTCTCCATTGCAATTACACCACCATCTTGGAGTACATCCACCACCCAAGATTTTGCATCTATCTTGATTGAAAAGACGACCTTCATCAATCCATTGGTAAGGTACCGTAAGGATGCGAGTCATCGTACGGTCCGGAGTCATCGCACCCCCATGCAATGAAAAATAAATGGCTAAAAGATATAGGATAGCTGTCGCCACAACGAGCGACAGCTGATAGAAGTAACTGTCGTCAGATGTTTGTGTGCGTCCACGGGCGGAAGTTCGTGTACTGAGTACTGAGAGGCGTATTCCTACGTATCAATCCCCCAAATTAACCGAATTGGTGAAAAAAATCGGCGCAAAGAAACGTTTCCTATGTGCATGCCTTGCTTGACACACAACAACAGGTCAAATTGGCTTTGCTCAACACAGAGCGGTGGTACAAGCACAAACAATGAGCACCAACACAGAGGACAACACACTTACTTGTACGACCCTGTCCACCCGGCCTGCTGTTTTCAGCACTTGGGGCGGGGAGCAGTGTCACAAACTGGGTGTCGCTGCGATTTCCTCAAGTCCTTCCGCTCATTTTTCCCGTGGTGACCCAAGTGTGACTGAAGTGATGTATAATCAAGTGATGTACTCTAAAACCTAGATTAAGCGGTACGGACACGTAAGATTTTTCGTTTTCATCGAGCCCTTGCAACTCGGGGGGCCGGCGGTCCAGATTAGAAATCTCGCTCCGCTCGAATAATTTTATTCGATTTCCGCACACAGTCGGGTGCGATGACTCGCAACCTAGGGTGGTTGAGTGCCAGCGATACCGGGGCAACTTTCACCCCTGCAACCATGCCAGCGCCAGTGCTGAAATGGCGCTGGCATGTTAGCTTTGCTCTATGTGCATGTCATCGTCGCACACCAAATGTGGAGGTATGAAGGAAACGAAAAACATTACCATTTCCATTGGATCGGTAAACTTGACATATTGTCCATTCAAGCAAAACACAAGAGAGAAAAACAGCAACCATAGGCCAAACAACTATGCATGAAAGCAGTACTACCCGTACTTGAAACCTCCGACATGATTGCCAAGCGATTGTGTGTCGCGCGTGGAAACAACTCGACGGCGGGTATGCTTTCCGCCCGCGGGATTTCGTATTTCGCCGCATTGTGTGTCTGTCTGTGTCTGTGTCTTCTTTTTAGCATCGACCGCGTTAGCCGGCTGTGTGTGTCTCTTTCTTATTAGCATCGACCGCACTAACCGGCTGACCAATGAAACGACGCCAGTCTCAGTGCGTTTGAACAGAAAATGCTTCTAAGGCCACAATCTGGGACCCCATGACCGAGCGTCATTGAGGAGTTTACGCTTCTCTGTGAGTGTGTGATTTCTACAAACCTAACATCCACCGAGCTAACTGTTGTCGTTGACTGAGTCCGCGTGTGTGTGTACGTTGCGTGTGGACCTGCAACCACAGCACAACTGAGGGGTCCGTGCGTCTGCGAATATTGTTCGAGTACCGCACATACCGGAGTATCGCATATTCTACTACGTGTGCGTTGATTCTTGATTGATTGATAATATGATAATATCGCCTTCAGGGTTTACTCAGGGCCGCACATACCGGAGTTATCGCGGAGGGGTGTGCTTTATATATCAAAACCTGTTAGTATAATCTAATTCGATGTCCGCACAGAATCCAAATTCATCGCACGCTCCGGAGTCATCGCCCCCTGTGCGATGAAAATAAAACGGCGATAATGTTCAAAAAGCTACCGGGGGTTCGATGACTCCCCAACATTACGGTATATCTGCCACAAGCTCGTTGTTTTTTGCACGACCGTTTGACCACAACTGTAACGTGTACAACGCCCAACGCCTAACCTATGTGCTAAATAGTGTGTATTCTTGCACCTGAGCGAAACGTGCGGTCCAGCAACCCCAGCAGTGAAATGCGAGAAGGGTGAAGCTGTGCGGGATGTCGAGGGAGACATCCTGAAACAGCGCGAAATGTGAATACCGATGGTCTTATCTACCTGCGTTGTTACAATGCGAAATAACCAGGTGGGTTGAAAGCACCGAAATCTGGCGAGGAATCCGCGACAAGAGGAAACACCGATCGGCGTCTGAAAGGTACTCATGAAGCGTCACACCACCGGCAGGTCTACAACCAGACTCGTGGTCGCGGTCTGGTGTGCCCTCAGTCTATTGCGGAGCATCGACGGCCTCTACACGGACTATGAGCTGTGCACGGGAAGCCTAGCGACTGTCGAAGATGGCGTTTGCGATAGTTCCAACAACATCGCGTCTTGCTTGTACGACGGGGGCGACTGCTGTCCGAGCACCTGTGTGTCAAGTGCTGGACTGTGTACGGAGGACACGCGGCAATGCCTGAACCCCTCGGCGAGCGACTACCCTTACGCCGAGTACGGGAACTGTACGGCGATGTCAGGACACTTGCCTTACATCAGCGACGGTGAGCTAACTTATGTACACTTACATGAGACGGCGGCCAAACTTAAGGACGATAGACCGTAGACCGTTGTTAGGACCTCTTTCCAAGTACTCGCCATGGCAAAGGTGAACTCGAAGTGTCAGAGCAATGCAGTCAATAAAGAATCCCAATGCTCTTGACAGGCAAGGCATGCCGTGCTGAGAACTCGTTTCCACGCTCGTTTTTTCCCTTGTTTGCTGCTCTTCCCATGACATGCCGAACACCGACATGGACATCTACGGTCTTCCCTCAGGCATCTGTGATGAAGTGAACAACAACATCGAGTGCGGTGAGGGAATTCGACTAATCTGTCAGCACAACAAGTAGGCTAATGCTTTTCGAAGGGTGTTGGAGTACCCGGCACGCGAAAGGCTTCCGAATCACTACCCCTACTACACTGCAGTTCCGATAACTTTGTCCGAGAAAGATCGCAAACATACAAGGACGTCCGCTCTTTGCTTTATCTTCTTTGTGGCCATGATTTGTGTGCGTGTACCTTCGCGATTATTTGCACACATGTAAGTTTTCGGCATATTTCGACGACCAGTTCACGACGAGGAGGCACTGCATACGCTGATTCACTCGATACACCAGGACTTCACACTACTAGTGTGCGTAGCTGTAGGTGTTGTTAACCGTATCAGGCGTTTCGACGATGTTTGTTACTTGCTGATGGCATTCGATGGCGTGTCTACCCATGTGTGGCAGGCTACGATGGGGGCGATTGCTGTCCGTCGACATGCGTCGTCTCGACCACCGATTACTGCCCCGAAGATAATAGCGAGTGTGTCGACCCATTTGCCGTCGATTTCGGCTATCCGGGTTTCGAGAACTGCACCGGGTATCCGCCAAGCATGGGTAACGGACTATGCATCCCAGAAAACAACATCCCGGAGTGTGAGTACGACGGGGGGGACTGCTGCGAGTGCTCCTGCCAACCGGCACAGTATATGTGTCTCGGACGCTTTGACTGCCTAGACCCGTCTTTCAATACCACCGAGTGTGTGACGAACACCACGGCCTGCTCTCCTGACCTTTCGAGGGAATGGCTGGTGGAGGACACCGCCGACGCAATCGAGTTGGCCAACGCCATCAATTGCACGGGCGGCACGTTTGACGTGGAGTGGCGAGGCAGCGTAATCGTCCCCCAGACGCTGTGGGTATCGCAGGGAACTACTGTCAACATCACAGGGGTGGACACCACAGCGAGTCCAGCTGTTGCAGACGGAAACGGAGAGTCTCGGATCTTCGGCGTGATCAACTCTTCTCTGAATCTACACGGGATGACACTCTCCAACGGACATGGCGTCGTAGGTGGGGCTATTTTTAGTGCCTTGGGAACGGTAACGTTCAGCGGGAGTAGTGCATTGGTAAACAACTCGGCCGATGAGCACGGGGGGGCGATGTTCGTTGACGGCGGGGCGGTGTCTTGGGACGGTGACATGATTATTGCTGATAACTCATGTTCCTGGGATGGAGGCGCCATTTTCATCCGCAGTGCTGCGTCCGTGTCGTGGAGCGGCAACACGACTTTCATCGGCAACCGAATCTACAGTTTCGGCCACAACGGTGGCTTTAGCTACGGCGGAGCTATCAATGCTATACTCGAGTCCAACGTTTCTTGGACCGAACAGACGAGCTTCATTGATAACCGCGTAGATGTCGATGCCGTCGACCGTGAGGTGGTGTGCTACGGCGGGGCCGTGGCGGTGGACTCGCACAGCTCGGCAATCTGGAGTGGGAGTACATCGTTCGAGGATAACGAGGCGTGTTTTTGCGGTGGCGCTTTGCACGCAAATGACACTGGCATTTTCTCATGGACGGGAGAAACAGTTTTTTCCAACAACCAAGCAACGAGCGGTGGCGTTCTTTGCTTGGAGTGGTACTCGAGTGCTTCCTGGTCCAATTCGACAGCCTTCGTGGGGAACAATGCTAGCGAGGACGGGGGCGCTCTTTATGTAACAGATATCTCGTCTGTTGTTTGGACTGGGGACACCAGGTTTGAGGGAAACAGCGCGAGGAATGGCGGTGCGGTTCATGTCAGTGGTACCTCCTGTCCCATAGCGTGGAGTGGAGAGACGACTTTCGAAGGAAACTTTGTATCTGGATCTGGTGGCGGTCTGTTTGTAGGGGAGGGCGCGGAGGTAAATATGACCGGACGGACGGACTTCTCGAATAACCACGCCGACGTGAACGGGGGCGCCGTGGTATCGGCCTTGAACAGCGTCACAGACGCGACCGAAAGCGTCATTTCGATCGACGGCGCCACCTCGTTCTTCAACAACTCGTGCCAAAACTGTGGTGGAGCGCTGATGATCAGCGGATCAGTATCCCTTTCCTTCGCATCTGACGGTACACAGTTCCTGCAAAATGTTGCTGAATCCGCGGGCGGGGCCGTCTGTCTCACAGGCGTTGGGGAAGGCCCGACCTTTAGCGGAATTCGTTTCGATTCAAACTCGGCGCAGATCGGGGGGGCTGTGCGCTCCACGGGATCGGGGACGACCATATTGGCTACCGGAGACGAGTTTCCGGTGACGTTCACTGGCTGTAATTTCACAGGGAACTGGGCGACGGCCTCGGGGGGGGCGATGGAGAGCGCTGCTGGAAAGGATTTGGTGGCGAATTCCACGTTCTTGGGCAACACGGCGAGTCAAGGGGGTGCCGCGAGGTTCGCTGGCTCAGTGTCGGTCTCGAACTGCCTGTTCATGAACAACCATGCAGACGAGCAAGGAGGACCAGCGATACAAAACTTGGGCTTCATGGAGGGCATAGAGGCCTGTACATTCGCCGACAACGATGCTGTCTGCCCTTCAGGATTTTTCCTGGACTTCGTCGATGTAAGTTCTTGTTACTTGTGGTAAAATGAGATGGATACCCTCCGGCTCTGCGGCTAGCTGTATTTGTTGTGTGTGCCTTTTCCACAAATGTCCGACGTGGTTACCGTTCACCGTTCCCTTTGCACTCGGTCGGTACTACGCAAACAGGACAGTCGATGAAAGCACTTGTTGAGCGCTTCTAGAGGCTACCAAAACACAAAACGAAGGATGCCGGAATAGCAACATCTGAAGGCAGTACCAATCCCTCCCGATCTGGGTGATGGGAGGACACCAACAAGCCAGCACCAAACGAAAGTTCATTACACGGCCAGGATCTGATCGACGTTTACGTTCATATATAGTTGCTTGTCGAGGTTCTGATCCACAAGGCTATGCCACTCGTTGTGACCGTGCACGAAACACCGGCCCGCCCCTAGATTGTTGTTGCTGTGCCTATGTTGGTGCCACCGCACGAAGTACAGTGAGACGACCCACGCCGAATGTCTGCAAGTGTGTAACCTCCAACCGTGATGAAGGTATGGTGAGATCGGTCATTTCGAAGACTGCGTTCGATTGGGTGGTATGGAAAGGTTGGCTTAGGCAGAGCGATGCCTTCTGCCAAGCCAACCGTGAACCCTAGTACTCGCAAAGTTGTCGAGTTGAGCTTATTCGACACACGACGTAGGGCTGTACGCTCACGAAATTTTGGTGTGGTCCTCCTGCAGAGATAATTTTTACACAGTGTATCACGTTTGCCGTTTGTTCCATCCATGCAATGCTCGCGTGAAAATCTCAGGGCCATCGATACTCGGACGTTTGTTCCGGATGTGAAGAATGCAGCGATTGCGGCGTTGCGGACAGCAGCGAAGTCCCCACGTGCACAATCACGCCTGATCACACCCAGAGCACTGGCAACACCATCGAAACTCTCTCGATCGACCCTGGCTACTGGCGTGCCACACCTTCCACCATCATTATTCTGGCCTGCCACAACTCGGACGCTTGCTTGGGCGGAGAAACCGGGGCTGCTGACTACTGCGCTGAGGGCTACGAGGGTCCATGTACGTCACGACGGTGTGGTAGTTTGGCCCGTACACTGCGAGTTAGATTTTCTCCGACGCAGGCAGATTATTAGCTGATATCGTGGAGAGTGTGAGCTATACGCGTGAGAGAGGTACTGGCGACCTTCCCAGCCTTGTGCTTCGCGGTGCATGCAATGCTCCCGTGTGCCCACTGCGTTTGTTAGCGTTGGGCTGGGGTCGATGAACCAATAGCTCTTTTCCTTGTTTGTCCTACCGTGTGTATCAGACTGTGCGGTGTGCAGCGATGGGTTCGCCGAATCGCTGTCATTCACATGCAGCAATTGCTCGGATGGCAAGGCAACCGTAGTGGCGCTGGTGGCGTTGCCAACTATGGTGATACTGGGGCTGATATTTCTGGTGTACATGGTGTCGAGGGAGCGCAAGCGCGACGCTCCCTCGGCGGGACCATGGCATCGGTTGAAGCGGCTTCTTCCACTTCAGTCACTCAAAATCATGATCGTTGTTTGGCAGATCTTGAACGAGGTAAGAAGTGTTTCGGGGGACCTGCATCCTGTAATGTTCACACCGATCGACCCCACCCCACCCCACCCCACCCCCCGGCGGCTCGTAGTTGTACTCACCCCCAAAAATACTGACAAACCGAAGAGCGCCCCATTGTGGGACACTATTTGTGGTTGTGTGGCAGCATTGGCGAGTACATTGACGCCGACCAGAGCCCAACGCACTGCAGTTTGGTCTCTGGTATACGGCCTTGCCAGAACGGCTCCCATTAGTAAACCCATCGATAGACACGAACGTTCCCATCGAAGCTGAGATCGTTCGCGTATCGATCCGCCATATCGGAGTGCTTACTACAGTTCTTCTGTCTCATTGAGGGTCTATGTGAAAATATGAAAATATGTCCTAGACATACAGGCCTACTGACCGAAAATCGGGGTCCGGTGGGGGGGGGTAACTCAAATTCTTGTAACTACGTAAGGGGCACCGGGATAGAAACCCCTCTGGCGTAGGGGGATGAATGACATATTTTCGTGAACGAAGCCATCTTTCTATTTCTGTATAAAACAGAAATCGAAATTGCCCTCCCGGGGGGGGGAGGGCGGGGGAGCCCATGAGTCCGGATTTAGTTTTCGCATAGACCCTTGGTCCCATATCCCATGAACGACCATGCAGATTTCCCGACCAAATTCGCTTGTGTGGCTTTTGCGGTGCGGGTTCCAAGATCTACCCTACGCAAACCGTGGTACCTCGTCGAGTACGTCTGTCTCTTGAAGCCGTGTTTGACGTTATAACCCCTTGTCACATGTTGGATCCTGTATACTAAACCCAACTGATTCCCACGGGTATCCTGAAGGCGCCAAGAATTGGCGACGGACCTTAACTCGCCGTGAAATTGGCTGTTGTTCGCCTACACCATAGTTTCAGGAGCAACTAACTGCGTTCTCACCCAGTATCCTCTCTTAAGCTCTCCGAATATGTCCCGTTTGCCCCGTCGGCCTTGTTGTTCGTGTTCAGCTCGCCTCAGTCGCCACTGTGTCCTTCCCTGACGTCTACGAGCGATTCCTTGATGGGGCCGCCTTCCTAGGCTTCGACATTGGGTGGATGCTATCCACCGGATGCGTCGTCGATGTTGACTTTCACGACCGCGTGGTGACATCCACGGTCGGGCCACTGGTGGCTTTGGCCATCCTAGGGTTGACGTATATCGTGGCGCGGTGTCGAAATCGCTCATGTGACCAGGCTCTCCATAGAGTCCGCCGGAAGCACGTGTCTATGGCTTTGTGGGTATCGTTCCTGGTGTATTCGCCAGTTTCATCGACCATATTCCAGACGTTCTCTTGCGAAACGCTGGACGACGGAGTGACGTATCTTCGTGCGGACTATCGCATAGACTGCAACTCTTCCAAACACCTGGCGATGGAGATATACGCGGGGCTGATGATCTTCGTGTACCCGATCGGCGTTCCGCTCGTCTACGCAGCCCTGCTTTTTGGGGGGCGTGACGCGCTGAAGATCGCGGCTGTCCCAAACATGGAGCAGTCGCGTGTGCAGGCTGCTGTCCATTTGTCCTCTCCATACCGGCCAGGTTGCTTCTACTACGAAATCATCGAGTGCGGCCGGCGGGTGTTGATGACAGGTGAGTCAAAGCGTAGCTGACTGCATCACTTCCCCCTCGAATACTTACGACCACGATTTGTCGTCTCACTTACCCCCCCCCCCCCCCCCGGTGTTTGCCATCGTGGTTGAGTTTTCGTCGCATGGCAACGACGTTGTAAAACAAGCCGATCACTTCGTGAGCTCGGCAACCAGGTTACCGCTTCTTTTTTTTGCCTCTCTTTTTTGTTTGCGGTAACCATAATGGTGGTCGAGTAGATTTTATTGTGCGGGTCGAGAACCCTCACTCTGCGCGAAGGGGATGATCGCACCATGTTGTGTTAAATTGGTCAAGCACCCTAGAGGCAGCTACACAGCGCTTAACAGTATCTCTGGAAGTGAAAGCACGAGAAAATATCATACGCAGCTGTCATCCGTACGCAAGGAAGTAAGCACAAGATACCGAACACCCTGAGCAGGATGCAGCGCACCCTCCATGCGACTCGTCGAATAATGCTTGTGCGCGGCGGGTGGGAGGGGGGGCGGTGCTTCGCGGTTGGTAATGTGAGCGCCTGGTCCGGTGAGAACCCGGCATGCTCAGTCCCGACCTTGTAGGGATGCGAGGTCAATGGTCTAACGACTACGGCATGCACGACTATGAGTACACCCCACCCCCCCCCGGTGTTTGCCATCGGGGGTGGGTTTTCGTCGCGTGGCAGCGATGTTGTAAAAACAAGCCGATCACTTCGTGAGCTCGGCAACCAGGTCACCGCTTTTTATTGCCTTTTTTTTTGCGGTAACCATGAATTGTGGTCGAGTAGATCATGTTGCGCGGAGTCGAGAACCCTCACTCCGCGCAAAGGGGATAATCGCACCACGTTGTTGTAAATCGGTCAAGCACTCTCGAGGCAATAACAAAGTGCTTACAACTGTGTACGGAAATGCAAGCACCAGAAAATAAATTAAGCCATACGCAACTGTCATCCGTACGCAAGGAAGTAAGCGCAAGATGTCGAACACCCTTAGCAGGATGCAGCGCACCCTCCATGAGACTTGCTGAATACCTCACGGCCCTTCGCGCTTGGTGATGTGAGAGCCTGGTCCGGTGAGAGCCCGGCGTGCTCCTTCCTGGCTTTGTAGGGATGCGAGGTCAATGGTCGAACAACTACGGCATGCACGACTATGAGTACACCCGCCCCCCGCCCCCGGGAAACGTTGCGCATACAGGTGTTATCGTCTTCATTTTTCCCAATGAACTGGGACAGATAGCCGTGACACTGGTGATGGCGTGCACATTCGCCTTGTTGTTTGAGGCCCTCGCTCCGTACGACAGCAAATGGGACGCTTGGATCTCTCGATCCGGTCACGTGATCGTGCTGCTCAGTATTTTCGTCGCCTTTCTACTCGAGCAACGTGTTACCGGTGGGACGAGTGACAGTCAAGATCTGGATGGAGGCGTTCTGTTGGGCATGAACGTTTCCATGGTTGCGGCGGTCGTAGTGCAGGTTGTCATTATGGCTTGCTCTGCAGCCCGACCAACTGAGTCACTGCTACCACGATCGGTGACTTCAGCGGCTGTCGGTTTCGACGTCGAACACAGCAGCAGCGATTTTGACGAACACGACGGCAATCGCATTGTCAGAACTGCTCTCACACAAGATAGCGAGTCCTTCCGCTCGGCTGTTGAGGACTTTTCTGGTATTGTTTCCAGGCGAGGTACGAGTTTCCGCCAGCGTTCATCGCAAAGAAGGCCGGTGGTGCCTTGCTACTCTGATGACGAAGCGTTCGAAAGAGAGAGGGCCCCATGGGAATGAGTGTAGTCAAGTCTATACCCTACTGCTCGGGTTGAACGGATGCAAATAGTGGCTCAAAATGGGGAGGTGGACTGCTTTTTACACGGACAACAGTGAGCATGTTCCAAATCACTGGTTGTGGCAGTACCGAGGGGTTGACTACGGCATGGTATTTTATAGCACTTTGCCTCGGTGCCTTAGGAGGTTGTGCGTAAAGTGTATGCTGCAGCCTCTCGTGTCGGGGTCGTTACGTGGGAATGGTTGTGCAGAATTTCATAAACGCTCGCAGGCGGCAATCGTTCGAGTTTATGCTGCAGGTTTGCAGATGGGGTTGGGTTAGCTGAACGGAAGGGTATTCCGGTTCTTCCGCCACTAACTCGTGTTTCTGCTGACGGGGAGGGCTGCGAGCATGTTTGAAAAATTGCAAACGGGGTTTCGCCTGGTCCTTGGCAGCAATGATCGTATCTTGGGGCACTTCTTATGTTTTTGCCGTGTTGGTCGATGGTGGTGTATTCAGTTGCTGTTGTTCTTGGTCCAACCTTCTTTACGCCCGCTTCAATAGATTCTTCGATTGCACTCGGGATCAATTGCTTGTCGAATGGGAACATATTTCCTAACTGCATGCGCCAGCCTTGGGACTGCCGTACTTTGCACAACGCATTGCGGCTCTTGTGTAGCTGTGGACAGAATTATACAAGTTCACCGACAAGACCTACAACAAATTTCCAAGACCAGTTGCTGCGCAAATTCAGCTACGATAACCGTTTGGCGTACACCATGGAAACCACGCCATCACATGCCTCCTTGTTCCGCCCGCAACTCCATTCGGCGCCGGCGCCCTGATGACCACCGTCGCACCTACTGCTGCCGTCTTCGGGGGGCTTGGATTGGCCTTGACTCAATCCCGATCGCTGTTCTTGCACAACCGTCTTTTCCACAGAAGACGACGCTGCTGTCCCATGTGCTTTGCTGCCCATGTCAGCGGCTCTCAGTCCAGGGCTCGGCGATAGCGGCGTGCCATCCAGTCCCAACGCCTGTATTGCCGACGCATCGTCCAAGCAGATGGCGTCAAACGTTGCACGCATCAAGCGGTGAAACGGTAGTCGTTTGGGCAATTCGTGCAGAAACTGAAATAAGACGAGAGGAACAACGAAAGAGAGGTGGGCCACCGGTATCACACGATCGTCCAATTTCCGCATCTTCCTACAGTACGAGAAAATGTCCGCTCTTTAGATGCCGTGAGCACAAGACCCAAAGCTCGGAAGAGCAACGTGTGACGGTGAATGCCACATGAGCTCATTCACACGCCCCCTCGAGGAGCATGTTTTGGCCATCGGATCGCATGCCATGTACCAGCTGTACAAACGCATTGCTAGCCATCCTGCACCTGTTTACCACGCGAGGATGCTCTCTTGCGCGCGAAGACCTACCTTGTGCCTACTAGGCATTCTCTGTTCGATGCCAGACGCATGCTGTGGCCAACCATTGAGTACAGCAAAACGCAAGTTCTTGAGTGCGGCAACAACATGACGCACCTGTACCGAGACATCATATCCATGACGTCGGAGCAGCTCGCATGCCCGCGGGACGCGGTCTCCCACAGGATGTACCTCGGCCACCACTTGCTTGATCTTGGGCCAATCTTGTTGTTCGATTCCAAGTAGCACGTCCTGGTCAAGGTACGGATACAGAAACCATTTCTCAAACGACGGCACACGACGGCAATATCGGGTAAAGAGCTTAAGGGTAGCTTGTAAACCACAACCGAAGCTCAAAACCAAGGGCGGTCTCTATTGGAGGGTACTCGCAGAATCAACGGCGGGTATTGGCCGGTCCAGGCCAGGCAAACGACCAACGCCAGTACCCAGTGAGAGGGCGAAGAGGATTATTGTGTAAGCTCAACGCCACGTCATGAAAGGGCACCATCGACCGTGACGTACGAGACAGTTCGGTCGAGCTCTAAACAGCAACATCTACAAATCGGAGGGAGAGTTGGCTTGTAAGCGAGGGTGCATCCCGCTGCGCTCTGCCTCACCAATTCGGCCCCCTCCACGTCGATCTTGAGCAAGTCGATCTTGTCCACCCCGAGGGCGGCCATTGCCCACGACACTGTCCTCACACTGCACGACGCCTGGAGTTTTCGAAGCGGTTGGTGGTGCAATCGATCAACTGCTGGAACAACCTAAACATTGACTGCCCCTCCTTCGACAACTGCGAATGTCATGGGCCATTGCCCTCGATAGCTCGAACGCAACAAAAAAAAAGTCGACACAGTCGATGCCTGATGTACCAGGTTTCGGCAGCAAAGTATTTCCACCAAAAACTTGGAAATATTCAGCATATCCGTCTCTCGGCGGTTTAGATGGTGCATAAATTGTAGAAGTATACAGATTTGTAATTTATTGTTTTTGGTTCGTCGAGGTTCGCTGGGCTGTTCGAATCAACAACACGTCAGCTGCGTGGGCTGTTGAGCTAGGGAAACGTCATACCGCAGCTGGCAGCCAGCCGTGGGTTGATCCTGCCTGCCTGCCTTATATATATCTTAAGCATCATGCCTCTTGATGGCACTGTGCTCTCATAAGCCCACCCCGGAGGGATCACATGTAACACTACAATCAGCATGTCTCACCTTGTCGCCGATAAGTCGACAGCTGGGAGACGACGAGTCTACGTTTGCAACGATCTGTATTTCAACTTGTGACACGCAAACGAAGTCAAACCATGTAAAAACAGACGTTACAGAGGCATCTTGTCGAACGGTGAACCAAAGCAGCCAGCTTAGCGGCCTCTCATCAACTATGCTCTGGTTTCTAGCAAAGCGAGGACGGTGCTATTGCGCACGTGCACTAGCGAACATGGGCGAGTAATTTGCGGCCACAGAAACCAAACTGGGCGACCCCGACATCAAACCGCATCTCTAGTGAAACAACAGCTGAAAGATAAAAATGACCCCCATTATTCCGACCGGTCACATATGTACTACGTGCAAAACATTGTCTGTCCCAAGTTCACGAAAAAGCTCAATCGCGGGTTTGGAAAAACCACGCGTAATCTTGCCACCTGCTCAGCGTCGTCGAAAAACGTTCCCTTTGAGGCCTCAACGCGCGTCTCCCCTCGCGATGAGGCCTTCCCTCCTGGTGTCCGCCCCATCTTACCCTGTAACCGTTCCTGTTGCAAGCGAGACAAACCAACCACGCACCAGAGCATATTGAGTGCTGCATTCATACCAACGTGGCGCCCGCCACCTCAACGACACTGGTTCAATTTGAGACAATCAATCCTGCTAATGGCCACGGCATGGCACGATTCCAGTGTCATCACAAACAGCGGTGTTGCACACCACGTTACACAATGGCCTCGTAATCCGTATGGTACTAATGTACCTTCTCAAGGGGCCTCAGGGTGCTGTTTCCAGGCATGTGGGGGTAGAAGGTCGCGAGAACGTTGTCCTCGTGCTTGGCGCCGAGAGCGTACTCAAGGATGACCGCAGTAGGACAGTGCCTGCGGCAGGAGAAACCAATCAGAGTCGGGAGAGCACAACACATCGGGAGAGAAGAGCATACCGTCATATTTCATATTTCGAATCGACCCGAATTCGGCCACACCTTTGGCAGGTATCACGATCAGTGGCTCTGATTCTTCTAGAACCCAGGCCAATACAAGAATGAATCCTCTCCACCTTAGGCTTCCTCGCCAGCTGACTGCCGTTAGGATATGCTGTGCAATGCCTTTACAATTACGCAAACAACTGCTTGTGATTCCCAATAGCCTGGCCATGCATTTCCTATTAATAGTGGATGAACTCACTCGGATAGATTCCGCTGCAGTGCCGACCTGTTGATGGGCAGGGGTTCGAAGGCGAAAATACGAAGAGAATCGGGCGTGTCTGTCTCCAGCTCAAAGAAGATGCTTGCTAGGCCGACGTTGGCACCTGCAGCAGCAATAGAGGGAAAGGGGGGGATTTCGTGCTCTCAAAACGTTCAAGAGAGTTCCTTGTCTCACGAAATTGAGGGTGGCGATGTGGCGATTTAAGATATCTTGACCCAAGGGTTCGACCACGTCAGGCAAGAACTCAAGAGATGGCACAATCTCAACCCAGCACGTGACTCACAAAATGTCAGCTTAGGATGGGCCGTGAGCCACACCACTACTGTCTCTACACTGCTTACTCCCTCTTAGGTTGAAGAATATAAACGTTCTTGCAATCCAGTAGATACGTACGCCATCGAAGGGTTCCTCGGCGGACAAAAAAAATAACGTGACCTCCATCACCGATCCGAAAACATGGCGTGTCAGCCAACGACAACACCGACATCTTTCTTCACAACAAGGGACCTTACCAACGTCCCAGACCGTGTCGCCGTCTTGCACCCGAACGTCCATCCTCGCGTACGTCCTGTCCTCGAAAACCTCCCCATAGATGAAAAACGCCTCCTCCTCGGCACGACTGCCCCACCACACCGCCAACCCGTTCGGCATCTCCCGCAACACCATATTGTCCTCGTTAGCGTCTTTGTCAACCCCTACGCTCCCGCCGCCGCTCAGGAGAGAATCACCAACCCTGTCGACTGCTGCAAGAATCTCGCCCGTCCCCCCCCCCAGATTTTCTTCCACTGCTTGGCCTTTTCCCGCGGAAACATGGTCTAAAGTTGGCGATGGGGTCGCCATGTGGAGTTGAGTGATAGCGGACTCAATCGTTGCCTCGCGGTGTTGTGCGGCTGGTGTTGGCGACCGTTTCCTCATAAAGAGAGACAAAGAATCAAGGGCCTTGTCGAGGCCGCTCTCCGCGCGTATTTTGACTCCCATACACGCCGCGCGCAGCTTCACCTGCAACCCAATATGAACACCAGCGGACATCATCGATCGCCATTCATTCTGTCGAATGGGGGGTTGGGGAGCTGGCACGCGACCTGATGGTCTGCGCGAGAAGGGTACGCATCCTTCCACCCAATCGTGCATATCTTGCTTTAGCCGTCAGCCAGGTGTTACACCAACCCTCCGGCCAGCTTCTCTCGGCAGCTAGTTAGCGAACTGATACAGCACTGAGCTCGGATTCATATCCAGCCTCTGCGCATCTAGGACCAACCTGCGGTGTAAGCGCAGCTGAAATCGCCGCCGATGCTTTACCAACCAGAGGGCCAGGTGGTTCAGTTGGTGCCGGTACGCGCCCGACGAAGAGGGACCTCTCTAACACACCGCCCACGGCCAGGTAGCGCACACGCTCAGCCCAGAAGAACTGATCGAGTTGCTGAGGGCAGACCACTTAATGTAGCAAAGCGCGAGCAGCGTTGGGAGGGGGGAAGTGGTGAAAGGAAGTCAACCGCCTCAAGATCAAATTAACCAGGGATGCTCATGTTGCTTGTCAACTTTATCTGTTTCGTCGGTTCACCTGCTTTGGCCAACTCTTCTTATCCAACTGCTACCGTAGTACGGGCTAAAAACACGTGCGGAGGAACATGCAGTAAGATGTTGTGTTCGCTGACAGATGTGATCGACAACATGTGAATGGTGTTAAGGAAAGTCACCATGTGGAATTCCAGCCCTGAGCACGGCGGCCGTCGTCCCGCTTCCTCCGTGGTGAATCGCCACCGAACATCGTGACAGAAAACAGCTATGATCAAGTGGCCCGTGATGGACCTGGAGAGAGCAGTAGCAGCAGCAGCAACATCATCAGGCTCAACCCACCCACAGCCGTGTTCACAGTAAACGTACTATCGGCATCGCCGGTACACACAACTTTCGGATTTTTTGCCGAGGGGAAGCCGGTGCCAAGGAACGTTCAGCATAGAACAAAGTCTTCACAGACTCCCGTTTTGCAATACGGTCGTAGGAAGGGTCAAACACAGTAGGCGTTCCACAACCTCCCCCAGGAACACCAAAATATGGAGCCGACCAAAATATGGTGCAATTCGAGGAAGACCCGAAGGGGTAAATGCCGTATTTATCTCGGGTTCATCGTCTCCAGCGACGACAAATTGCCGGCAAAACGCGCTAGCAGCTGGGTGCTACGCGTTCGTTTATCTTTCGTTCGCCGCATGACATTAGCCTTAAGTCTCGTGTACTCACCAGGAGATTATCTCGACCTGCAGACGCCGCGAACTCACCAAGCAAGTCGGTGGCGGATTCGAGCTCCCCAAGCTGACGCTTGCTCGGCCCCCCTGCGCCATCGAAGGGTTCCTTTTTCTCAACCGTGGGGAGGTGGGGCAAATTTACCAGGCACCTCCCGCCTGCCTGCCTCACCCCGAGCAGCAGCACTCGAAGGGCGAAGGCTAGTCGATACCCCGGCACACACATACCCCACATCGAACCGAAACCAACGTATATCGGCCGGTCCTCGCGCACGGACAAAAATTCCTCTACGCTTGGCGGAATGCCCAGGCGTTCCTCCAATGCGGCATTGCTGTTTTCACTTTCGGGAACGTGCTCGTTGGAACCGAAGGCAGCCGTTGGATCGAGCTGCCGCTCGGTCGAGGATTGGATCGGTTCTTGTTCGTGGCCAGGATTTCGTAGCCCTGCCCGGCGGCCCTTTGGGTGCGTTCTTGAAGCTGGTGAAGGGAACAGATATCCACAGACCCGTACGCTCTCGGGCCAATAAGGTGACGCATCCACTACGAGGGGCGAGAAAAGGTACAGTACCAACGGCAGTTCTGTCGAGTCGATCGTCCTCAAGGAACTCAGGCAACCGTTGTCGGCTACCGCTAAGCCCTCTCTCCGTGGCTCCGAAGGTTGCGCCTCTAGGCTCTCTTGCAGAGGGCAAGGGTCAAGCCCTAAGCGTTCCCGGAAAGTGGCCCACCTGTTCGTGAACAATGGCCACATCCAATGCTCCACGTGGTCCCAAGCGGTCTCCAAACGCACCCTTTTTGTTTCAGCTGCCTGGCTCAGCTCACTTTGCTCCTCGCTGCTGCTAGTGGGAGCGGTAGCAGCACCTTCGCAATCTTCTTTGTGCGCTAACCTTGGTTTGTTTGGGACTCGGGTAAGACCGCGATACAGGCGGGGATAGGTCCTCCTCAGCCTCTTCGGGAAGGAGCTCGGCATAGGCGAAGCCGTCATCAAGTAAGGGTGGCACACAGCGCTGGGGATCTGCATGGGGATTGTGAAGCGTACAACGTACGTAGGAGGGAGTACGGTGCATGGGCAACGACAGTCGAAAATAAGGTGCCTGTGGTGGCGGTCAGTCAGCAGCACGTCATACTATGGTTGCCATCGTAACGCGAACGGGGGGTTGGCTAACGTAGCTTTCGATGGTTTTCCGCTCGACCGGTGGTTCCATCCTCGCCAAGCTTGTTCAAGAGGGCTACGCGTTATCCACATCTTGATGTTGCCTTTGCGTCCTAAGTGGACACAGGCACCCTTCCTCTTCCTCGGAGCAACTGCGGCGGCTAGGAACGACGAGCGAGATGTTACAGCAGTAGGACCCCGCTGCATCTTGTCAATTCGGTCTTTCACACGAATACATGTATTTACGTGACCTTGGACCTACAATACATGTGATGTATTTTGTCCGAGACAATATCTCCCGATTGTCGTCTCGCCTGATGGGCAGGTGGCGATTTCACCACCAGGCGGCCGTCCCGCCTAATAGCCGGGCAGCCGCCAACGTTACGTACTTCATACATTGTACTACAGCGGTACATGCTTGTCGAGAGCTACCTGCGCAACAAGCGTCTGGCTTACACGAAGTGCTTCGCTGACGTGATATCCTTCAAGGGCGAACATATTGAAGATGACCAGGTTTGCTCCCCGACATGCCTCGATGCAGCCGTTCTGCTGTGCGAGGTTTGCCCTTGTTTCGGCAGCGTCGGATCCCGGCGTCCCTTCAACGAAAGGGCGAGGGAACGACGCAGCAAACAAATATTGAATGCATGTTTCGGTCTAAACAGCGAGATTTCGTATCGGTCAGGGATCGAAAACATCTATCAACGCCACTACAACAGCTGACCTTTCCAGAGGACAGGTGGTGAATCCACGGCAGCGACAGCGACGGCTTGGCCTCCCAGCAGAGACCGCACGAACTCATGGTGTCCGTCGTGGGTAACCAACACGACCGCGTTCCACAGGTCGGACTGCGCTGCCATCCCTGCAGCAAGGAGAACAAGCGGCTGGACATCTCCTCGCGTCCCAAACGCGATCACCGTAGCCTTCATTCTTCATTCGTGCCCCACGTGACGATGAACTATGCACTGCAAACACTGCTGCTGTAACCTCGTAACCTCGTTGCCTCGGTCACGCGGCGCAACCAAGAATCACCTGGTCGCACGAACATGGCCACGTGGCTACCTCCAAAATTATCGTGTCTGGACAGTTTGAAAAATGGCGGCGCAACCTCGCGATTTTTTAAATCGAAGAAGCAGCTCACACCATCAAGGCACAGCCGTGCAAGGCACGGCCTGTTGTTGTCGATTCCGACTATCTGAGTCGGCAAAGAGGGCATAGAGGGAGATAAACGGAGGAGCAGTATCATGTTGCACGAGGTCATACTCGCACTTCTTGGCCACCCTGGGGCGATCGTACAGGCAGAACCCACGAACTCGCTCCTCCGCACCAAGACCAGCTCGCGCCTTTCCACGAATCCGGCACGAGCGTCGGCGGCGGGAGGCACCTTTCGCGTCCCAGACACCATCACGTTCCTTACAGCCACCGAGCGAGAAGCCATCAACAGAGTGGTAGGCATGGGGAGCATTTATCGTGACCTGAGGAACTTTGTGAGGCCGCAAGCCCTCACGTGGACTGAGGGCGGCGGCACCTCGGTGTCCGGAGCGGAGCAGCAGCAGCAGCACGCCGGCTTGTATCTTCGCGCTTTGAAGCTCGGCGTGCGCGAGTTGTTGGACGAGTACGCTGAGCGCGTGGCAGAGGTGGAGAGGGATGTAATGGAAGACCCCACGCTGACGCTTGCTAGGGTGTATGCTGGAGTAAGGGAGGTGAGGCATTTGACCACCATGGCTGAGGTTTGTACACCTTGCTACGATTCTGTAAATGGGTGTCACACCAAGCAAGGGGCGGAGCGGCTAAGAAGTAACACCGACATGTTTGATTGCGAAGAGCGGCTTGTGTGCGCCGGTATACATGTAGCTTGCCGCCCTCAAGATATGTGCTTCTGCAGCACTCCGTTTGATTCGAGTTTACACGTGCGCCGAGACCCATTGACCCCAGCGATGAAATGCTTATTTTCGTGAGCTTGATAATAAGTGGTACAACTGCCTGTACAGTAGTTCCAAATTCAAAATTCAACGAGGTACATGCGCATCATCCTGGATCATCTGAATAGGTACCCAAAGATTTGAAATGCAAATCCTGTTTGGAATCCCCGTGCGTACATTTGTACTCTTGTGTAGTTTACAGCTGGCAACGAGTCCTCGATTCCGCGCGTGCGTCAAGCGATGCCCACAAGAATGATGTACCAAGCATCGCTCGGCGGTTAGCACCGGAGCACTCCTATACGGCAGCAGTGCAAAGGGAAACCGGAAGGGTTGAAGGAAGTGGGAGGACTGGGGGACTTGGGGCTATTCGGCTACGTCCCCTTGCCCAGAACGCCAATTACAACGCTTTGCAGAAAAAATGTCCATGTCCAGGGTACAAGAAGCCCAAACGCCGATATTGTAGCGTCCCTGCCACGCCCCGAACCCTCTTCTTTCAGTTTCAATCGATTCTGCCCGCAATAGCGGAGGCGTGTGTGGCAGTCGCTGGGGACGGGGATTCGGGGCTGCTAGAGGGGCCACAGCTCCTGGAGGCGCTCAACGAGAGGAGTCATTTCGGCGCGCCTGACGTGAGTGCGTTTGAACACATCCCGGTGGACATATTCTGGCTTCTGCTCTGTGCCGGGGTGTGTGGTATCTAACACCGTCCTAAAGCAGTGATCTGACAGCAGTTCCTTGTGTTATGGGCCTATGGTGACCGGTAGAAAAAGGACCACCAGATGTGGTCTTGTGGGGGGGCGGACTATCTCGTGTCGGCGTATTGTTTGTGACGCATACGGTACACTCAAAAGCACACAACGTACAACCGTGACTCTGCTATTTGTACGATGTTACACTGCTGTGGGTGCATGTCATGCGCGTGCTATGCCTTCCATTGGTCTTGTCTCCCTGTTGTTCAGGTAAGGCGAAAGTTACGCCGCATCGTGTGGCACTGCAGCCAGGTGCTGATAAACCAGTGCGCGTCGTGGCTTCTACACGGACTGCTCGTCGACCCGTGCGAGGAGTTCTTCGTGCACAAGAACTTCGACCCAACCTGTGAGCGAGCAGTAGTAGAATATGCCAGCAAGGACAGGGTGATGCCACTGGAAAGCTGTGTGTTTTGTCTTTGCGAGATCGGGGGACGATTGTAGCGCATTCTTACCCCTCGTTGTTGTTCCGATCTCATGGCAAGACCTTGCTTACTGCTGTACGCCGAAAGCTAAAGCTCAGCAGCTTTTCCTTAACTCCTCGATAAGGTGTACAGAAAAAACCGTGGGTGAATTTTGATTATATTCCAACGAGATAGCTGGTTCAGCGGTACCTTTACCCAGTGCTTCGGAAGCGTGTGCAAGCTGGGGAGTGCATTACCACAAGATCCCCTCGATCCCTAAGAGCAAAAAACCAAACATGATGCATCGAGCGTGGCGTTGGAGGGACCTTATCTTCCCCCTCGCCAAACGGCGCTTCTGCTGTTTGCTTGCTTGGACCGTAGTATCGGCTGCAGGCACCGCGACCCGATCGAGCATGGCCACCAACCCGGATGATATCTGGAACGACAACGAGAACGACCGCTGGACAGCTCTGGACGATAGCGTGGAGGGCGCGTGGGAGGGTGCCGTCGACTGGAGGGCTGAGGAGGAGTGGAACTCGACCTATACCTTGAGACTTCCCCTCGTACCCACTTCCTTCGTGCCTCACGGGTGGGACCATGGACTCAGTGGTCTAAAAGCAGTATTACCGTCCGCGTGTTACGTGTTGCTGTTGCTGCTTGTGGTGCTGTTGTTTTGCTGTTGTCCATCCTGTCGATTCCCTAGGCCAATCTAGTTTCTCTACTATCGTTCGGCCAGTTGGATAGGTAGATCTTCACCCTGGGGTCACCCGAAAACCTCCGTCCGCCCACCGTGATTCGATGCCTTCTCTCGTCAACACCTCAAATCGAGATTTGTGTACTCACGATCAATGCGCGATGCCGGGGACAGTGCCCCACAGCGTGACCATCAGTAGGGTTTTGAGGATACCGTTGGGCCACAGGAGGCGGCCCACAGTACAATAATTTCTTCGTAGAGGCGGGGAGGCTGTTCTCTCGCATCGTATGCAAAGTTTCACAATGATCCGGCCGTGGCGTTATGCTTGGAAGTGTTGTTGCGGCGCAACTCGTGGTATCGGTCCTGTGTATTGACGCTCGTAGGGATTTCCGGTGTGGCATCACCAAATGTGTTTGCCGTACGCTTGCGCGCGATATGTTTCTCGATGAGCATCCACTCAGGGGACCTGGTGCGCACTTTGTTTTTCTGCATAAGGCTGTTGGTGCAACTGTCGTGTCTCCCTTTTGGACGTTCGGCGTACCCTCCATTTCTCCGCGTGGCAGGCTCGCCCAGAAGATGCTGTTCGTAGGAAAGGTGGTTCGAGTACTGTGCCAGGCAAATACGCTATCTCTGTCCACTTCAGCGGCGCCGCGTTCGGCGTGGCCAGGCGACAGCGCTGTCGGCGATGGCGTTGGTGACGGCGTGGGTGGCGACGTGGGAGTGAATGAGGCGGAAGTGCTGGAGCTGACGCAGCGCTGGTCGGAGTTGCGCGATCGGGAAGACTTCCATCTCTTGGCACTGGAGAGAGCCGTACACGAGGTGATGCCATGTTGCCGGGGACATCAACCGCAGTAGCGGGGAGGGTTCTCACTGCGTGGTACGCTATGCACATGGCTGAAGTGCGTGCTGTTGTGTTGGTCTGTCTCTCTGTCTCTCTCTCGTTATCTCTTCTCCGGCGTGCTATTTCCTCTTAGGCGAGGTGCACACCCGCGACCGTTCTGCAAACGGAACCAATTCTGCAGTGTCGTGCCTGACCAGTGCTATGGTACCTGGTATGTAGCCGTTTTGCGGGTTGGGGAGTATCCCATGAGCTCTATCGACATCCCTTGCATTTCCTGCGTAGCTCTACGTTGGGTACTTTCTCACCACACTGCCCCTCTCCACGACCGTACCGATTCCGCTTACCCTGCTTGGGCGATAGGTAAGCAATAACAATAGTGAGACTTACCCCCTTCAGACACTGCGGATTTAATGACATCGGTGGCGAACGTCAAGCTTGCCCCTCTTTTTCATATCCGCTCTACTCCACCCCAATGCAACCCCACGGCTCAGGCTCACTCCTTGGTGGACCGGCGACTGTACCGCCTATTGGTGAACGTCTCGGGGCTAGAAGGGCACCTGTCCAGCTTGAAGAGACTGTTTCTCATGGGACACGGGTCACTGTTCCACTCGTTCTTCGACAAGGCGAGGGAGGCAATGAAAGTCAAGGCCGGAGACAGGTAACACGGTGTTGATTGAGCAGTATTCACCGTGAGTCCTTGTGTCAGATTTTAGTCCAGATACAGCCCGCAAACAACGCTTGCTGATGTAATCCCACGACTGCTACACTGTTACCGACAGCAGAATCCACCCGTAGCACGTGAACTCGTAATATTTTGGTTGGATGCAGTGTTTTTCAACATCGACCCATCAACGGCCTTCTGTGTGATATCGACGCCCCACTGGCGGTGTTTGCGGGCCATCTCCTGCCCCCCTCATTCACCAACAACATTCGAGTTACCTCGCAGGTCGTTTCCGACAGGCCAGTGTTGCGCACCGTTCAAGGTGCGCAATGTGCGAATTTTCTTTGAGTATCAAAGACCGGTTTGTCGAACGATGAGAGGCTAAGCCCTCCTTCATCCACGTTCGCCAACCTGCGCTCATGCTGTCCTGTTTTCTCAGGGCGGTGCTGGATCTGAATACGTGGCTAGCGGCTGCCGTCGAGGACACAGAGGGTCATGACTCGGACGGAGCGGTGTCTTCCTCTGCAAGCACGCTGGACAGGGCTAGGCTCGACCTCGATCCGCCTGGGTTCTCGTGCAAGGCATTCCAGGATCTCACGGTGCGGCGGCCGTATTGTGTGGCGCGGATTGTCGTATCCTGTGGCTTTTAGGTGTTGTGTTCCTG